ATATATATATATAAAAATTAGATGTATATTTGTATATTGTAACCTTACTCAGTTTAAGCAGAGGTTGCAAAATGATTCAGCATTTCATTGTAATCTGTGTGCATTATAATTTGAGCATACACAGCTAAATACATTCAAAAATAAGAAGTCTTACATACAAGCTTAGATCCTTTCCAACCTCCAGTTTGTAGAGCTTTAATGGTAAAAATTGTATTTCATGCTGATTCAGATTCAACTCCTAAACTGCAAAAAATGTCTGCAAAAATGTCAGATGCTACAGCAATGCCTGAGTTGCACAGACACCAGTTCACTAGGGGAAAATGTGCATTCTCTAATTGGTGGCAAGTGACTAGGTGGCGGCAAAGAACTTCGTTATGATTGCTTTAGTTGCTAGCAGATTGTTGCCTGTAGTTTGCATGAAAGATGCCAACTTTTATAACTTTTATAACCTTTGGGGTTATGTCAGAAAGGGTATCTGGTTTTAAAGTCTAACAAAACAAATATGCAGAGCTACCTGCTGTGGAAATCTTGTGTTGCACTGTCTAGCTTCACTGCTGCTCAGAGAGTAGTTGGCAAGTGTTTGCAGACAGGTTGGTGTCTTCCATTCAAACTACAGGCAACCATCTGCTAGTGAAGAAAGCAGTCATAAGCTGTGTCCCAAAACGTAGGCTGCATCCTTCGGAGGCCACATTTGAAGGCCACTTACGTGACAGCCAGGCGACGAAGGCTGTCCCAATTCGTCGACTGCTTCAAATACGGTTCACAAATGCGTCCTTCATTTCCCCAAATTTGAAGGATGGGTCGGGTGTGTCCTTCGTGGCCTACCATATCCCAGAATAAATAGCACGGCTCAGCCAATTTCAGTTTCCAACAATGGCGGCCGCTACTAAGTTTTAATATTACTCTTATTACTCTTTCTGGGTCACAAAATAAACTTTTAACATATTTTCAGACGAGAAAGTAGCCATGTAAACTTCAAATATCTGCTTGGTTTATCAAGACATCGCATATTTGCAAAAGTGCGCCGACATTTTCGGAGACGTCTGTTACCCACCCGCTTGATAGCTAGCCGGGGGGTTCAATGGTCACTCGAGCCGACAGGAGCAGCGGACTCCCAGCTTCATCGTTTTCAGACCCTGCTGTCTTTCACTACTCAGGTTAAACATGATATATAAGTCACTCGGATAACTTAAAAATGTAATTTTTTTTGAAGGCTAGACCGTCCCATTTCACAGCCTCGCACTTCCGGCCTTTTCGGTCTTCGAAGGACCCGGCCCAGGCTGGGTCCTCCGAAGGATGCGGCCTACGTTTTGTGACACAGCTATAGACTTTCAAAAGTCTCAAGCAAACTCCATGCCAACTGGTCAGGGAGTGCATATTTTTCCCTAGCAACCAGTCATTACTGGCTTGCCTGGTAGGACAGTCCAAGTTACCTCTGTTGCTTTCTGGACTGTCCTAATGCAGTCACCTGCACGAACCTGGTTCTTCATGGAGGATAAACATCAAGGACTTCAAACAGTATTTGATCAACTATTATTTGCCTATGTCATACTAGAGACCTAAAATCTTGACATTTTGAAGTTTAGTCTGTGGCAGGAAACTAGTCTTAATGACTCAGTTTTCCCAGACAGGGATTAAGCCTTGGAATAAAACGTTCCAGTGGAGACCTTCATTGAATTTTTGTTTTAGTCTAGGCTTAATTCACTATATACAAAATGTTGAGTTTTCATTGCAAAAACCCGGTGTATAGAAATTCTTTTAAAATACTTACCTGATGAATCTCTTTGTTGAGTCTAGGTTTTATTACAAATGTTCAGGACGATTATCATTACCGAGAAATTAAAGTTGAGCCTTCTTGCACTGCAAATAAAAATGTTCATCTTAACACGTTTGTTTTGTCATTGATGTGAATCAGTGTTTTAAAAGCATCCCAAACACAGACACAGTGAATGAAACTGTATTAGGCTGAACAGTCAATATTTCCTCAATGTCACTATGAATAACTTGTTAAGATGGACAGAGTTGATGCAACTGTTTGGCCTTATTGCTCATTTTTCCACAGAATCCCGAAGAGTCTATTCTTTGACTAAACCAGATTCGCATGCAGGAAAGAGACTGAAAGTCTGCATTTACATTGAGCTGAGTGTAAATGAATGAGCTGTTTTTCACTGCAGCTGATTTCCAAATGAACAGAATGATAGATATTTGCAAAATGGCTCTTTAAAGTCTTGCACATTTCAGTAAGTTTCTTTTGGAAGCATTTTAGCTTTGTGGAGAAAAAGACAAAATCAGATTTATGAATGGAGAGTTCCCATCTACAGTTCCTGTCTTATTTATATTTTCATGTAATAGTTTTAGCCATATTGTTTTTGTTACTTTTATTAAAACATCACTGTAAAGAAGTTGTGAAAAAACACCAGCTGACAATCAGACAGGTTTTTAAACAATTCAGCATTTTTGGTTCCAGGTATTTGCCCAACTAAATATCATTGAGTATTTGTGGCTGTAGCAAGAAAGGCTGGCATGCATGCTGCATGCACGAGGTGCGATCAAAAGATGCTTGGCCATATCAGTGCAGTCCCTACTCATTAACTGGACTACTGGCCAGATTTGCATCCCTGCAACTTCATCTTTCTTAAACTTTCAAATGCAAATAAAAGTGGAATGACTAAAGTTTTGACACAGTGGAAGAAATCAAGTGCTTATTGTAGAAGGAGTCATGCTGACCTTGATGGAAAGATTGTTCAAATTTGATTTTTATTGACTACCTTAGAACTTTCTGATCACACCTCACATACTTTGTGCAAGAAGACATAACGACATAACAGTGCAAGAAGCTGCTTCTCTGGATGGGCTCCAACTCCACCGCTTTGGACTGCTGCTAGTGACTGTAATCCATGTTCTGCTCTGCAGCTTTGGTGAGCTCAGTGTAGTGGCATCAGCTCCTTACCTTTTATGGATCACTGGGCAACACTCTGTAGTTGGTGGTATTGGACACTCTCTCTCCAGAACAGAACAACATTTACAGTCGCCAGCTGCAGTTCAAGGCACTTGTCGGTGTCTGAATGGTGCTGAGGACCCACCAGAGCACAAAGCTGACCAGCATGCAAGTGTTAAATGCTATATGAAAAAAAAAAATCTCAAAACACTTGGGCACTCATACCAGTATAATATGCATGTTTGAAAAAAAAAAGATTTCTTTAATAATTAGCTTATTCTTAAAAAACACGCCTGTTGACTTCATGTAAAGATATGCACAGGATGAATATTTCTGACACACTAAAAGTGTATTTAATATATTTATTCTCAGACTGTTGCTGTACTATTGTACAGTTTCTAGTTTTATTCAGAAGCCACTAAGCCACAGTTTTTACTACCAAATAAAAATGTGTTTATATCCTGGCTTGTTCAAAACCTGCCTGATTGCCTGACTTTTTGTTATTATGTCCATTTGATGATATTCAAAGCTGCTTAATGGTTTACCAAAAAGCTAAAATGCTTCATAAAATATTTCTAAGTGCAACTGCATGATTTACTTTTATTAAAAAGAGGACCAAGTTAATTGACATGTCTCTGCCTCCTCTGTGCAGCTCCCAGTTGGCGATGAAGTATTTGGATCCAGCTTTTACTTCTCTGACCAACGCTCTCAGCGAGGACCTGCAGAACTCATCTAAATGGAGGCACAACAGCACTGCTTTTAACCAGCAGAGGTAGAACACACACAC